GTGAGCCACCACACCTGACCACACAAATTCATTTTTTAAAGTTAAGAGTTATATCTAGAAATGTACAATAAAGATGGAGGAGAAAGGGGCTGAAGTTTAAGTTTATCACCAATATCCAATGATGTAGTCAAGCCAGGTGCTTGATGACATCATTTCTTCAGACCCCCAGTAAAATTCGTTTAATCCTAATGGTCCTGTTAAGAATTCCAGGCCGGGCATGGTGGCTCATGCCTGTAATCCCAGCACTTTGTGAAGCCGAGGCAGGCGGATCCGAAGGTCAAGAAATCGAGACCATCCTGGCCAACATGGTGAAACCCCAACTCTACTAAAAATACAAAAATTAGCCAGGCGTGATGGCAGACGCGTGTAGTCCCAGCTACTCGGGAGGCTGAGGCAGGAGAATGGCTTGAATGCAGGAGGTGGAGGTTGCAGTGAGCCAAGATCGCACCACTGCACTCCAGCCTGGCGACAGAGACTCCATCTCAAAAAAAATTAATTTAAAAAAAAAAAAAACTGCAAGACTAAAACACTAACGAAAAATTATTATTATTATGATTAATAATTAATTTTTTTTTTAGACAGAGTCTCGCCCTGTTGCCCAGGCTGGAGTGCAGTGGCGTGATACTGGGTTATGGCAACCTCTGCCTCCTAGGTCCAAGCCATTCTCCTGCCTCTGCCTCCTGAGTAACTGGGACTACAGGCACTCGCCACCATACCCGGATAATTTTTGTATTTTTAGTAGATACGGGGTTTCACCATGTTGGCCAAGATGGTCTCGAACTCCTTACCTCAAGTGATCCACCAGCCTCAGCCTCCCAACATGCTGGGATTACAGGCATGAACCATCCCGCCTGGCCTCAAAAAATTTTTTTGACTGGGCACTGTGACTTATGCCTGTGATCCCAACACTTTGGGAGGCCCGTGTGGGAAAATCACATGAGGCCAAGAGTTCAAGACCAGCCTAGGCAACAAAATGACATTCTGTGTCTACAAAAAGTTTTAAAAATTAGCTAGGCCGTGGTGGTATGTTCCTATAGTTCCAGGGGAGGTTGACACAGGAAGATTGCTTGAGCCCAGGAGTTCAAAACTGCAGTGAGCCGTGATTGTCACTGTATACTCTTGCCTGAACAACAGAGTAAGATAAGACCTTGTCTTTAAAAAAAAGTTAACACAAGGCCGGGCACGGTGACTCACACCTGTAATCCCAGCACTTTGGGAGGCTGAGGTGGGCGGATCACGAGGTCAGGAGATCGAGACCATCCTGGCTAACACAGTGAAACCCCATCTCTACTAAAAAATACAAAAAATGAGCCAGGTGTGGTGGTGGGCGCCTGTAGTCCCAACTACTCGGGAGGCTGAGGCAGGAAAATGGCATGAACCCGGGAGGCAGAGCTTGCAGTGAGCGGAGATCGTGCCACAGCACTTCAACCTGGGCAACAGAGCAAGACTCCATCTCAAAAAAGAAAAAGTTAACACGAATAACTGAAAAGCACTGAAAACTTAGTGGATCAGATAACCCAAATTCAGTGTTAATTTGTGAATTGAGATATTGTACACAAAATTCCCACCTGATCACTGATGCTGATCATTTTTATTAAATTATAACCTTTTAACTTTGAATTCTTAGGTACTTATAAATACACTGTTCATATCAAATTATATCTTATAAACTATTTACATTGGATGGGCAGTGCTAAAATATTCACTTTTGAAGACTTTAAATTATCAAATGTGGTTGTTTTTTGTTTTAATTTTTTGCAGAGACAAGTGTCTCACTATGTTGCAAACTCCTGGGCTCAAGTTATCCTCCCGCCTCAGCCTCCCAAGGTGTCAGGATTATAGGTGTGAGCCCCTGTTCACAGCCAAATGTGGTCGTTAATAGATAACAATTTCTTAGTAACTTTAAGAAATGATTAAAATGTAGTTGTCAGAATTAAAACTACAACAAGGTATCACTATACACCTTAATTAGAATGGATGAAAGGAGAAAAATTCTGGCAAAGATACATAGCAACTTAAACCATCATATACTGTTAATAGGAATGTGGTGCACCTCCTTGGGAAATTTCCATAGTTTCTTAAAAGGCGAAATATACTATGCAATGATCCAGTCAGTTCCCTTCTAGGTATTCACCCAAGAGAAATGAAAGCAGGGCTGGGCATGGTGGCTCACCCCTGTTATCCCAACACTTTGGGAGGCCAAGGCGGGAGGATTGCTGGAGGCCAGGAATTCAAGACCAGCCTGGCAACATAGCATGATCCTATCTCTATTGAAAAGAAGGAAAGGGCTGGGTACGGTGGCTCACGCCTGTAATCCTAGCACTTTGGGGGGCCAAGGCGGGCGGATCACGAGGTCAGGAGATTGAGACCATCCTGGCTAACACGGTGAAACCCCGTCTCTACTAAAAATACAAAAAATTAGCCAAGCGTGGTGTTGCATGCCTGTAGTCCCAGCTACTCGGAGGCTGAGGCAGGAGAATGGCGTGAACCCGGGAGGCGGAGCTTGCAGTGAACTGAGATCCGGCCACTGCACTCCAGCCTGGGTGACAGACCGAGAGTCCGTCTCAAAAAAAAAAAAAAGAAAAGGAAAGAAATAAATGAAAGCATATGTCCATACAGATGTTTACAGCAACTTTATTTGTAACAGCTGAAAACTGACAACGCAAATATCCAATGGATGATGAGATAAACACATTGTTATATAGCCATACGATGGAATAGTACTCAGTAATAAAAAGAAATGTGTTGGCCGGGCGCGGAGGCTCAAGCCTGTAAACCCAGCACTTTGGGAGGCCGAGACGGGCAGATCACAAGGTCAGGAGATCGAGACCATCCTGGCTAACCCAGTGAAACCCCGTCTCTACTAAAAAAAATACAAAAAACTAGCTGGGTGAGGTGGCGGGCGCCTGTAGTCGCAGCTACCCGGGAGGCGGAGTTTGCAGTGAGCTGAGATCCACTGCACGCCAGCCTGGGAGACACAGTGAGACTCCATCTCAAAAAAAAAAAAAAAAAAAGAAATGTGTTATGGATGCATGATATGTGTCCACCGTTATGTGTCCACGGTCATAATATGATACGTAGTATTTTTGTTGTCCTAAAAATCCTGTATGCTCTCTGCATTCATCCTCCTTTCCCTCAGT